ATTCGACATGAATTTGGTTGTTGTGAAAACATCCTGGAACAGAATGAGATGCAAAACAAACTTCTCATCAGTGACTGCACTGATAGCTCTTGCCTTCATCCTCCGGTGCGGGTTTGGCTGACTGATGATGTCACACAGGGTAGCCCGGATTGCTGGGAGAGTTTTCTTAACTGCCCAGATTGCATGACACTGGCATGACATTTGACCTTTTGGAGATATATAAAAATCATCATTTTATCCTGTCGGACATTTGTGTGAAATTTTGTCATAATTATCTTGTGAATTTTTTTAGTTATGGCCAAAAATATGTTTTGTAAGGTCACAGTGACCTTTGACCTTTGACCAACTAATTCTAATTCATTAATTATTGAGTCCAAGTGGACGTTTGTGCCAAATTTGAGGGCATTCCCTTCAGGCATTCTTGAGATATTACATTCACAAGGATGGGACTGACGGACACACGCTGGTACAGACAGACGTATGGAAGGACAAGCCAAAAACATAATGCCTCTGGCCGCGGCTATCGCCCATGAGGAGGCATCAAAACTGTAAAACAAGAAGAATATTTTAGCAGGGCTGAAGCCTTGTATATGCATTCAAGATAGGGATGCATGATATTGGATTTTTTTTGTCGATATCGGATGTGCCGATATGTAACAACTCATTTGACCGATAACCGATAGCGATCCACTCTTCAGCAGCTAATTTTAGTGATCATCAAGTCTTTTCTGTGGTGGAATTAACATCATATTATACATGCATGCTCTTATAGTGACGGCCCACCAGCAGATGGAGACATGAAATACAGTACTCTTCAACGTATGTGATATTCATTCATCGTGCAAAATAAAAAAGCATGTTGGCCGATTCAAATAGTTCATTTTAAAGCCAATATGGAGCAGTACTGATGATGTGCCCATATTATCATGCATCCCTAATAAAATGTTTGTGTTTCCAGAGAAATAACTTGACCTAACTTCAAATGAACACGGTCTGCACCATCCACCACTCTCTGTCCTGTGAACTTTCTCTTGTCTCTGTTACTTACGTTCCACACATGCTAAGACGTGGACCTTATTGGAGTGTATTAGGCTAATTCAACAGTAATTACTTGGATCACATGAT